AATGAGTGGGGGAGGGCCACAGTGGGAGGGAGAGAGAGAATCCCAAGAAGGCTCCACACTGTCAGCACAGAGCCCTATGCAGGCTCTGTGTGAGTGAGATCATGACCTGAGCTGAAATCAAGAGTCAGATGCTTAATCGACTGAGCCACCCAGGTGCTCCACTTAAATCCCCTTTAAATTATCAACCTTCTTATCCTTCCTCAGTCATCTAGAATGGAACTATGTAATTTTTCAACCTTATTCCCCAATATGCCTCCAAAATAGCTGCTTTTTACTTGCGACAAGAAAGAGCATTGAAAAAAAAGAAAGAGGATTGAGACTTTGTAGAGCAACGAAAAATTCTTTGCTTTATTCCAAGAAAGAGGAAATTCAGAGTCAGACTTGTCTTCCATCCAAATTTTTTTTATTGACTGATAGGCTATTAGAAATAGCCCTCGGTTTCTTCATCTATATAACGAAGGGTTTGAAGTAATCTGTAAGTTTCCTCAAGCAGGACCCATAGCCAAGACCAATTTAGCATCCTTGCACCAGGCAGCTGCACCAAAATGAAGGCCTGCTGAGAATCCATCACTGGGGCAGGCTGCTGTGGCTAGGCTCCAGGTGGATATGTAATGATTTAATCAGATGCCCCCTGTGAGAAGAACATTCAGTGATGCATATTAATGAAACAGATGGGTGACTGCTAAATAAATTTGAGTAAAAAAGGTCATTTAAAAAAGACAACAGAAGAAATGTATGCTTAACTTTTATTTCTTTTTTTCTTTGTATTTAGTGACTTATAAAGGGGAAATATATACAAATTATAAGAAATTTTGGCCTCCATTTGTTACCCTGGGTTTATATAACGCAAAAGACCTCAAAACAACTCAGGCTGAGAAAGAAAGATGCCCTGTGTTACATTACTTTCTCCCCTTTTTTATATGCTCCTTCCCCATGTAATTTTCTGCACCTCCTACATCCTTTATATAGCCACCAGTGTGCCCATGTTGACAGGAAAGTACTACATGTTACCCAAGCGCAGGACTCCAAAGGCTTGAGATTTGTGAGGGGGAGTAAAGGGACTTTTAGCTCGTCCCTCCCCGCCAGCCACATCCATCCACCCTTCTGCCCTTAGATAGCACCACTTGGCCCCTTCCAGGGGCATAAGGCATAGCAATGGCAGCCCCAACCTTAGCTCAGGTCTCAATACATCCCCACTGTTCTAAAACGTGTCATGAGCTAAAGTTGTTCATGGAACTGTGAGGTCAGTATCTCTTTTTTGCTGTCTGTCCCTCCCATTCGCTTAGAATGCTAATCTCTACACCGTGGATGCCCAGAGTTGTTATTGTCTGACTGGAAATACCACATTTTGTTAATTTCTTGGGGAGAGACTGGTTTGACAGGTTGCTGGATGAAGAGAAAGAAAAGGAGCAGAGTTTGATCTGAGGACTCCTAGGACACAAAAGTTCCTCCCTAAACTTTTCTCCTTCATCTACTCAATATTTAAAATTTCCGAATCTAAAAGGTATATTTTTAAAATGTAATAAAGCAATCAAAATTGCATGATGCTGGCACAGAAATAGACTTGGCAGAGCAATGTATTCCAGAAACCCATCTAAGTACGCCTGAGAATTTTGCAGCAAAGTAGTATTTCAACTCAGGGAGAAAAGGATAAAGTAAAAGATAATTTGGAATAATATTACTTTGGGACTCTATCTTAATTCTTACTAAAATTCATTCCAGGTGAAATGAAGATTTAGATATGAAAATATATGAAGTCATAAAACAAATGGAGAAATCAGAAGGATTTCTGATAGAAGAAATCAGAAGAGCCTTCCCAAACATGATATAAAATCTAGGAGATTGGTAAATTTAGCCATATGAAAATTAGGAAAGGTCTTTATAGTAATCAAAAGGAAAGTCAAAAGACAAACTGAGCAAAGTATTTTCACAACACATTTGACAAAAGGTTCATTTCCTAATATATGAGAAACTTACAAATCAATAAAGAAACAAACACAGGAACCATAAGCTGGTAAAAGAAAAAATATACAAATGACAGAGATTGGTAGTTTCCAAAAAGAGAAATACAGACGCATAAGAAAATTAATTGTTCTGATTCATAATTTGAGAAATGCAAATTAAAGCAATTAAATAAATACAAGTAGAATATAAATCTTCACCTGTTAGAGTGACAAAGATGAAAAAGATTCGTAACATCCCATGTTGGCCAGGGTGGGGAAAACAGTAAATCTCAAACACTGTTAGTAGGAGTAAAAATTGTCATATTTTTGACGATAAGTCATGAACATATCAAAATTTGAAACATGCTTACTCTTGCGCACAGCTCTAATTTTCCCTACAGGCACACTTGCAGACATGCCATAGGATAGACTATGTGTGCGAGGGAAGTTCATTGCAGCATTGTTTGGAATAGTAGAAATGGAAAGCAATGTAAAAGTAAGTAGGACCTAGCTAAATAAGTTATTCTCCATCACCACAATGGAGTGCTGGAGAGCTGTTTATAAGTATGAGAGACATGTATATTTACCCGTGAAAAGGTGTCCTTAATGTTAAATGAAAAATAAAAACACATTTCAGAACAATATGCTGGTATAATCCATTTATGTGAAAAAAAGAATAGATGTACATGTGGTTATATAGACATACGAATGCATAGAAAATGTTTTAAAAGACTGTATATCATATGCCAAACAGGCTTTCTCTATGGGGAATGGAAATACTGGGGGAAGGGGGCTTTTGTTTTTTTATACACTTTTTGTGTGCTTTTTCTAAATAAGCCTACACTTTTTACTTAAAACTTTTAATAAATATATTATGGAAAAATTAAATTTTATTTTTATTAATTGTTAAATTTTGATTAATTTTAAATTCCTATATTTACATGCCCCCATATTTTTTTTTAATTTTTTTTTCAACGTTTTTTATTTATTTTTGGGACAGAGAGAGACAGAGCATGAACGGGGGAAGGGCAGAGAGAGAGGGAGACACAGAATCGGAAACAGGCTCCAGGCTCTGAGCCATCAGCCCAGAGCCCGACGCGGGGCTCGAACTCACGGACCGCGAGATCGTGACCTGGCTGAAGTCGGACGCTTAACCGACTGCGCCACCCAGGCGCCCCTACATGCCCCCATATTTTAAAAAAAGTTCTAGTTTTAATTTTTTTTTATTCTGTATTTCAACTTAACAAACACACACTAAAAACCAAGAACCCTCTTTCCACCAAACTTAAAAAACTTGGGGATTTTTCTACAGCCCAATAACCCCTTCAGCATTTGATAATTCTGGCCATGGTTCAGACCACAATGAAGTTTCTCTGGGATCTCCCAGTGAGACTCTGCTGAGAAAGAATAGCCATCCAGCAGATGATCTTTGATTAGTTTTGGATATAGATCCCAGAATAAAAAATTCAGCAATTGGATTGATTGCTGTAAGATAGTTTCACTATTTAAAAACACTCTTTATTTAAACCACAGAAACTGGGGTAAATTGGAAACACCGAATATTAGCTTTGCTTTAATTTTACGTGCGGAATCAACTTTTCCTTCGTAAGTAATTTGCTTAGTCTTTTCAGTTTAGCATGCCAGCAGATTGGGCTGTCTGTTGGATTTTGCTTCTAGACAAGGAGCCGGTCTCAAGTGACTGCAAGGGAGAAAATCTCAAGTGACTTTATTCCTTTCAAAGTGAGACTTTACCCCTTTACTTTTTTGTCCACCAAGTAGCTATGCATCTTTCCCATGCAAGTAACTGTTTCCTTGTCCTTCTTGGTCGTCCTGTATATGTGTCCACACCTGCAACCAGAGGCAGCAATTGGGAACAGCTGTGGAGATGGAAATTGCCCAGATGCTCGAGGAGAATTCAAGGATCCTCAAGTTTGGATATCAGTTTACCAAGCAAGGGCCTCGAACAAGGGTGGCAGCCGCAATCACCAAGAATAATGACCTGGGTAATGCAGCCCTATTGTGTGCTGTTAGTGATTAGAAGAGCATGATGACCATTTCTTTCTCCACTTCAGATACAATATCGCACAGACATCGTTCCACTGGCCTTTGGTGTCAGCCCCTGATCAAAGGCACATTGCTACATTATCCTAGGAATTCTCATCAGCTTCATAGTGTCTCAGTTTTATAGTAGCATTCTCTCAAAAACTCTTTTGTTCTTTTCTTCCAGACAACCTTTGAGTTTTGCTTGGTTTCCTTTATGTGTTTGGTTCGCCTTTACTTAGTTCTTACATGTAATCATCCTGTGTTGTTATCTGCACCAGAAGATGGATGCAGTGATGTGGAGATTCCCAGTTCATTTATGTTTGACTTTTTGACTATGCTTTGCACTTGGGTTCAAATGTCTGATACTTTGGTGATTTCCATGTGAAGTAAACTAATGGAACTATGTTATAAAGGTTAAACTTAGAAGTAGCTCTTTCAGTTAGTCCCTCTTTCATTTTTCCTGCTGCCTACCCTTTGCCAAGGATCCATGCCATTTCTTCTGTTAGGATGAGAGGGGGCATATCCTGGTCAACCAGAGCACAGAAGAATGGGACAGATTGGGAAAGCTCGGTCTGGGCACGGCTCAGTCACCTGAAACAGCATGGCAAAAGGACCTCCAGGGAGCAGACAGTCACCTGACAAGCAGTCAGCCAATAGCGAAACTCAGTCCTCAGTTTGAGTTTCAGGGACAGAATGCGAGACCTTGGACAGGAGAACTGGGCCCAACATTCCACTAAGTAGAGTGCTGGCCACGGGTTGGATTCAGATGGCAGGTAAGACGGAAACCAAGGGTTAGAACCAGAAGGGGGCAAGTGAAGATTAGTGTCCATTTCCCTGCCCAGACACGCTTAACCAAGATGCTGAGTGCCAGCTGAGGCATGGTGTGTGGCCTCCAGAGGCTGGCCAGGCATATGGCAGTGCTTACCCTTGGGATGTAGAAGATGGGAGCTGGTGGGGGGGGAGGGGGGCAGGGAGGGCGGGCAGCCCATTAAACAGGGCTTTGGGGAAGGGTGGAGGCACCTAGGAAGGGCACATGGAGACCACAGCTGATCAACATGAGACTAAAGAGAAACAGGCAAAACAAGAGGCTTGATGTAAATGGAGAAGCGATTTTGAGCCCAAGAGTGGTAGCTGTAGGCAATAGCTTTTGTCTAATTTTCTGTGGACTGGGCTATTTAAAGTTGAGAGTTGGGGCAGGACCACAGCCACGGCACCTTTTTGCCAAATCCGGGAAGGTTAGAGTAACCCTCTTCCTATGCACCAGACAAGCCAGCCGGTGAAGAGGTGAGAGGGGGAAATGGCTTGCAGAAACTGGAAATGGCCAGTCGAGGCAACAGTTTTGATACTAAACACCCGCTTAATCTCTGAGTTTACCTGCCATCTGAATCACCCCTTCCTTGGAGGTGGATAATTGGGAGTTTTTATTTAAAACAGGTTTAGAAACTTTGAACATCTGTTTGCAACTCCTCCTGGTCTTCAAGCCATAAGCAGAATTCATAGATTGTGAATGTGTCATCCTGAGGAGTTAAAGCCAGCTGGGGATCAGGTTGCACAGAGGTCGAGATGTGCTAGAGATAAGTGACCATGGAAACCTCCAGAAGTTCACTGTTCTATGGGTCTATTCTGGACCTTCTACTCTATAGAAATTTCTAGCATCCCAGTTCCCAAATGTCAGACATAACTTGATTTAAATGTATGTTCCACAAGACTCTAGATTATTATATCATTTCCATTTATATCATTTATTGGGTAATTGAGTATTGAAACTTAAGATCACTACACCCTTACATGTGTGGGATTGCTATTCTGTGTGATGAATGTTGTTTGTCAGGAATTTAAGGATGATTCCTTCAATTTATCTTTTAAATTTTGACTTTCTTTTTTTCCTTTATTTCTTACCTAGTTCGTAAAAAGCGAGTTGAAGGAGACCGAAGGTAAACTTCCACGAGAGGAGGCAAAGGTTCATCATGGCTGCCAATTAAAAATAAGCAAGCAAAAACTATTCTCCTTCCCCATCAGGACCATTTTATCAAAGGTTGTTCATTTCCGTTAACCACACAGCTCATAGTCTGTTGTTCTTTTTTAGCACTACTTATCTTGGATTTTTTAATGTATACAATTGTGTCATGTGCTCATGGGCCCCTCTGGCGACTTGCAGCAGTGGACTTAAGCAGATCTTAGTGCGTAACAGCAATGGAAAATGATTTAACCACTTTCATATTGGGTTGTCTGGCTTTCTTACATGAACTTTTTTTTTTAATCACTGAAAGGAATTTAGTATATAAGTGTATTTGTAACTGTGATTACGATAGAGGCCTATCTCTGTTTACATGCATAGCTTTGAGTTAGGCTAAATACAACAGAAGTGTTCTTCTGACCACATAAGAAGTTAGTATTGCCAATCTTTCACTGGGTGAGAACATGTGACTGACTGAGCACAAATTCTCCCCTACCTCCAGAAAAATCACCAAACTCACATGCCCCACTGTTTGAAGAAGTGCACTAAACGCACGTGTCCTACTGTTTGAAGATCATTGGTGTCATCTTCATAAAAGCAAGGCAGCATTGTGATACTTTAACACAGCATTAGCAAATAAGTGTGAAATATTAACCCATGAATAGTCTTCAAAGCAGACTTACAGGCAGCAAAGTTAATTAGCACACCTACCTTTATTGATGATTCAACATAAATTCGATCTTTAACATGACTCTACTAGATAACTTTTTACAAAGCTGTTTTAAACTTTTCCAGACATGGTGGGAAATTTTTAAATTTTAGTAAGAGGGCGGCTTTTAACACAGTACATTCCAAAATAAAACAATAATAATTGCACCTTAGAGTTGTCTGATACAGATGATTGCATCATTTTGGCAAATTTTAGAAGCATTTATTGCTTTATCTTTAGTATAGCAGTATCACAGAATGATCTGTGAACGTTCAAGTTAATTTTACAGACATTTGTCCATATGGCATGATCCTTCCAGACATTTGCAAACATCAGGAAAAAATGTGAATTGTCACTTTTCCAGATGTTTGTCATCTCAAGGACAAAGCCTGTGAAAGTACAGCTGGGATGATTGCGTGGTTGTGTGCATTAACTTTTCATCTAGCAGTGCAACAGTGTGATCCCAAGCGAAGGAAATGTGTGTCTATAGCCTTTGGCTCAAGTTCACGTGCCTTTGATGACACTCAGTGCCTGAGGCTATACCTGGTGGCATTCTGACCCTGCCTTGGGCACTTCACCCTCTCTTCTCTCCTCCTTTCCTTCCAACTCTTTCTCTTTTTTTCTTCTTTTCTCTGAAATTCTGAGCCATGTAAAGGTGACATCCCTTGTGTTGGTGACACCTGGAGCTGAGGACATTGGTGACTCAGGCAGAAGATGGACCCAAGTCAGAATTTGTTTAGTAATTGAGTGTTCCTGAGTTGCTTGATAGTAGTAAAACAAGTTAATGGGAAAACAATGTGTGTATTATCCTAGTTAGCTTGTAAAACACATGGAATCTAGTCAGGAGAGCTAACCTTCATAAAATTGGACATTTACCTGTCTTAGAAGTATCTGCATCCGTATCTCTAAAATCCTTTGAAACATTTCACTTTCTTGACAATATTTTACATTTTTTGAGGAAACAATGAGCAGAACATGTTGACGCATTTGGAATCCTAAAAATCCTTTAATTAATAGCTTTTGACTATCTCTCCATAGTAAATACCATTTGATGGTTTTCAGTTTTATTTTTACTTCCCTCTTACTCACTTAGGTGTGGTATGTTGGAGCCAACTCATACAGGCTTACCAATTATTAAATTTTCAAGAATTTTGCACACTTGTTAAATATAGCCATTATTAAAAATAAAATGGCATGCACCTACAATTAAATTATTTTAAAAACCAAGGTAATACTCAAAAATACCTTTTACTGTTTTCTCTGCTCTCAAGATTATTCATATCTACTGTGTCTGTGTGGCAGAAATACTGTATAATGATGTGCTTTTGTGCGTCTTTTCCCATCTCAGAAGTTCACAACTTCTTGTTGACAGTTTGAAATTGTCCGTGGTGGGAGTACTTATACTATGGAAATGAGCAAATGTTACAGATCAGATGTTTCCCACCCCTTGGTTGCTGGTTGGCAAACATTCATCAGTATGCCCAGAGTTCTTTTTCTGTATATATATGTTTCGGTTACCATGTTGCCACAGGGAAGAATCTTTCTCTTAAGCGTCTTTATCCTATCTGTTTAGATTTGTTGCAGATATATTATAAGTGCTGAATCCCTGACATGCCCTTCAAGTAAGACTTTTTCCTTTTCTCATTCACTCTCTTTCTTGCCTTCATCGCTAAGAAATCTTGTATTCTACAGTGTTCACTGAAGCTCCAAAGTTCTGTGGATCGGGGGCTAAAGCAGTTCCTGACAAGCCTTGGCAGAAAGCAATGAAAAAAAAGTCAGAATTTGATGCTGCGGCTGTTGAGAGTATTAAAGCAAGATAGTGGGATATTACCAAAATTTAGCCCTGTTTTTAGCTTGTGAAATAGTTGGGTCACATGTAATAGAGTTTATAAAATCAAATATTTATGATAAACAGTTTATCTTATCATTACCTGTGTTTTTAAAATAACTTGAAAGGTGACATTTCCATGAGTATTCACATATTAAAGATAACTATTAGAAGATAAACTTACACTTTTGGGAGCCTGTGAATCATTTCATTAGCCCAGGACTTCATTTCTCCATTTGCCCAAAATGTGTAAGTAGAAGCTTTTTCATAATCCTGAGCATGACTAATCCCTTACCATCCATCGTGGTGGGGCATAATGTATATAAAATATTTTTATATGTGTGCATTTTGCCAAATACTATGTTGAGATATTTGGCAACATCTGGACAACTGATTGAAGAGAGATAATTCTCTCCGCACACCACCCCCTTTCCCTTTTTAGACTTGTACAGGCCCATGCTAGTGTCAAATCACTCATCAGGACTTGCAGGCCCCTATCACCAACACCCATCACAGCGTATGTGGAAGATAACTTTTAGGAGAGAATTTTGGAAGTCTAGAGACCATATGATTAGTCCAGCACTACATCTCCCCATGTGCCCAAAGCATGTAACGGAAGCTACTTTATCCTCATTAGCATGATTAAATCCCTTTCATCTTGGTAGGGCATAATGTAAATAAATGTGTGCATGTGTGTGTGAGTGTGTGTGGCCACCTATCTAAATATGTAACGAGGTATGTGGCTACATCTGGACCACTGATTGAAGGGAGATGCTCTCTCCCCAGCTCCATTTCCCTTGTCCGTTTTAGCATTGCTGCAGGCCCAGAGTCAATGCAAATCACTCCCTGGAGTTTGCAGCTTGGGTCACCAAACACTAAATCTCACAGCATGTATGAAAGATCACTCTTAGGAAATAAATATTAGAAGCACGGAAATCATTTTATTGTTCCGGCACCCAAACCCATTATATGCCTGAAGTGTGTAAGTGGAAGCACTTTTCGTCTTCATCAACATGATTAAGCCCCTTCCTTCCATCTGGGTAGGGTAAGCTGTATATAAATATTTTGTACATAAAAATCGCCAAATACTGTAAGTGGTATTTGGCTGAAGCTGGACGCCTGATTGAAGGGAGATGCTGTCTCCCAGTCC